CGTCGTGTTGTTTCAGCCAGGGGATACCCAGAGTGAGGGGGTAACCACCGAGCTTGATGATAAAGGCAGGGATGGATTCTAGGTGGTTATTTATTTTGAGGTCGAAACGAGCAATATGGGTAATGGCCCCTGAGCTAATAGGTCTCCCGTCTATGACAGAAAGGTGGACAGGTGCTTTGAGTTGGGATAGGGGTAGGTGGTGACAGCTAGCGAAGTCTATATCCATGAAAGCATAACCAGTTGCTCCAGAATTGATAAGGGCATGGGCTCAGATTACATGTTGGTTGTCTATAATGTCACAGGCGACTACCAAGTGGTTATCCTCAATTCCATGTTCTATTTTGTCTAGAGATAAACTAGAAATAACTAAACCAGGAGAAGACTTAACATGTCCCATGTCAGTGCCGATGGCTGCATATGGGACCACTAGTTTTTCCGACTCTTCTTGGGCAGGGAGGGGCTCCTCAGGAGCAGAGGCAGCATGGGTGCTGGCCCGGTGCATGGGACGAGGCCCCTTGTTGGGGCAAGCGTGAGCCATGTGTCCATGTCCCCCACAGTAAAGACATAGGCCTCGGTTGATCCGGTCTTGCCTTTCGGCAGTGGTCAGCTTTCGATGACCTGCGGAGAGTTCCAAGGGACTGGAGGCGGTGCCGGTACTAGCTGTGGAGGCGGGGGGGGGAGCGGGAGCGGGAGTGCGAGGCGCCGCGGGGGTGGCGGTCCTCCAAGAGGAGGAGGAGGAGCCTTTCTTTTCGGCAACACAGGCGCGAACGTGGTTGTCGAGCTGTTTAAGGAGGGAGAGGTAGTCGTTCCAAGCTTCAGGAACTGGAAAAACATGTACTAGGGCATCCTTCAGTCCAGTGCTGAGGCCCTGGTACAGGGAGGTGCATTTGACGGCGTCGTTCCAAAGTGTGTCGACTGCCAGGCGTTAGAAGTCGACAAGGTACTCCATGAAAGGTCGGTTTTTTTGCAGAAGGCTCCTCAGAGCCCGTTGGGCGGTTTGGGCCCTGTTACGGTCGCCAAAGGCTTGTTCCAGTTCGGCGTAGAATTCCTCCATGTTCGCAAAGTCAATGCGGTCATTCCTGACTCGGTATTAGACTTGGACGAAGGCGCGTCCACGGAGGAGGCCGAAGGCATAACCGAGGTGGTGTTGGTCACTGGTGAACCAGTGAGCGTCACCCTGGAGCTTCATTTTTAGATGGGTGAGGGCGGTGTTCAGAGACGTGATGGTAGCGTTGGCCTGTGCGAGGCTGGCTTCGACGATGAGGAGTCGGGCCTCGACACCTTGGCCTTCGGTACGGGCCTCATCCCGTTCTTGGGCCAGGAGGTTATACAGTTGCTGCAGGAGTTGGTACTGAGGGGTCTGTTCGAGAGGGACGGGGGTTGCTTGACGAGGAGGAGGGGCAGGTGCATTCAGGATTTGACGAGCCAGGTTTCTGGCGAGGTTGAACTGGGCCTGGAGCTGGTCATGGTCTGGGCTTTGTGCGTGGTCATCCCTCAGATTTGCGAGGGTATGAAGGGGACCGTTGATGTTGTTAGAGAGGTGGGATGTGGCCATGGTGTGGTGTGGGTTGGGTCCTGGTGGACGCAATCTTATGTAACGGACAGGGTCAGAGGGTCGGGTAGCCCAAGGCATACCACGATCAGGATAGGCAGGAATCTGGAGACGAGGGCTAGGTGCGGGGGTACAACCGAAGCGAGTTGTATGAGGTTCGGGGTTCAGGGGTCCCGGGTCAGGGTTCAGAGGTTCAAGAGGATGCCAGAAAGTAGAGGGTATAATTCCTAGGTACAGGTGTCCAAAGGAGATTACCAGATTGCATAAAGAAAATAAAATATAAAGGGGCACACCCCTTTATATACTAAGAAAATCCTCCATGATCACTAATACAAAAGAAAGTCCTTGGCGTCGCGCGCAGCCGCGATTTCTCCATCTGGTTCCGCTATCTTCCGTTGCGCAGCAACACACACCCATCGTTCCTACTAAGGAAATTCAACCATACAACCAAGAAAACCACAACCAATATATGCAACGAGCAACCCATGCATATAGCCGGGTGGCCGTGACACCAGTGGGGTCAGGATGGGTTGCGCAAGTGGAAGGCAAATCTGGACACGACATCCCGCGGACGTCACGTCCAGATTAACGGTTTGCATTTGGGTGTCCCATACGTCAGATGCACGGGATGCACAGGACACAAAGTGAAATTTTTGCTGATGTAGCGCTCCATACGTTTTTTGTACCCTAAACAAATAATCAATGAGTCAAACAAGAACAAAAAAAACAAAAATTCTTAGCTTTCAGAATCATTAGTGAACGGAAAAGAGATCTTATTGATATATTCATTATACTTTAATATATACTTTTGTTATAAGCTTTCTTGACCACTCTCCGAGAAACCTTATTGGCCCCAGTTACAATTCATTTGACTTAGAATTGGCTTCTGCCTAACAGTACACTTCATTTGTTTCAGACATATCGGAATCAGAGTCTGAACAGCTCTCATCAGAGTCAGAAGTAGTGACCTCATAGCTACTCTGAGGCAGAAAGTTTTTCAATTGTTGTTCATTTATAATAAAAACCGGCTGATAGTTGAATGATGCAAATTCGAATAATGTATAATCTATTAGCTCTTTGCTACAAATAATGTAAGATTACTCTTTATTTTATTTGTCATAACATGTATCATATTTCATGATTCAAACATGGCCCTACAAGAAATACATACAATAAAAATTTATAGAGATATTGTTTCAGAAGGCTAGCCTCAATACCAACTTTCCAATGAAAAGTGTGACAATTTTTGCTGCAACGGCAACCGTAATGCCTGACTAATTGTTTATGTTTTACTTTAAATAGTAAAACCCTAATACCTACAGTTCTGACACTATTGTATTTATCATAATATTATTGTTGTAGGATGTGTCACAAACTGTGACTAAGCAAGGCAGATTTCACATAACTCAGACTTCCGAGTTATAGGTATGTTGGGATTTTACATGATACATATCAGTGCGTCATAGGTTATTATGTTTACCTGTTAGTGACTCACAGTTGTGAGTCACACGATGTTATGACTTTCGCACATGACTCACACTTCTGAGTCATGGGTTTCACTCAGGTAACGCGAGTTGCGCACCTGACTTGGTTATTATGTTTTAATTGGTTTTAGGCATCTTGCGCAGCAACTCATATGAGTCGTCTGATGGATTTTGCATGACTCATAGTTATGAGTCACAGGGTTCGCGTGACGAGATGTATGAGTCACGCCAGGTGAAGAGCTACTATATAAAGGGGTCACTAGGACCCTGAGTATGAGCTCTTCACACATTCTTCTTGTTTATTTCCTACCTTTAAGTTATTATCAATAAAAAACTACCTTTATGCTCTTTAAGATTTATCTTAAGAAACCCGAGAAGTGGCTTTCCTCCCACGAGAAGAGATTAAGTCCTAAGCGAGGACTAGAGAGAAGAATAAGAAGATAGTCGCGAATACGATAGTAGTCAAAGGACTGCACTATCGGGATCGTGTAGGCACAGGCCTGAGAGCTATCACCTTACAGAAAAGTATCGTTACCTGTCGCTAGGTCCTACTCAGTAGGATTCTTAACAGGATTATATAGAAAAATATGATAATCTAAAACCACTGATATTAGGGTTTCATAACTTAACTATCAAAGGAAATAATTAGTCAGGTGTTACGGTTGCTGTTGTAGAAAAAATTGTCACACTTTTTATTGGAAAGTTGGTATAGAGGCTAGCCTTCTGGAACCATAATAAAAATATATCGTGATATAATGTCAGTTACTGAACATACCCCTATATAAAAACTTTAATATGGGTGCTATTATGCAAAAAATGTACCAATCTCTCAATACAACAAATATGCTTCACTTCATATAAAACTTCTTAAGCATGTAGAGTACCCTCTAATACTCTTAAAAAATATTTATCAAAGAAATTTGTACATCTATAGACTCACAATTAGATTTTTTCAGATTTTACACTTTTCTCTTTTTTGCATACATAGGTAGCCAGAGTTTTCAGCTATCAGAAAAATATTTAAGAGCATTATTTTAGTAGTAGAATTGACTGCTATAAAGAATTTTGTAATACTGGTTACATGTGAGAGTATGAAATATTTTTCTGTTTTACAATTTTTCTGTAGTTGCTATGCAAACTTGAAACTATAATTACACAAAACCAGGTTTAAGGTGTCCAACCCATTTTCACATATCAACACCCATATGCCAAAATTTATACTATAAAAGTCACTTCTATGCTATAAAAGTAACGTGCCGAACAGGGCCTTAATATAAAGTTTTATACATACTATTTTTCAGAGTAGAATTGGAAGATGATAAATTAGATATTGGTACAGGTACTAGAATACTGAAATTGATATCTAGATATATTTTAGCTTGTTGGAGTCTCTCTTATTGTACATGACTACATAGTGTAGAATGATTAATAGGTGAGAGTTTTAAAGTAGGTGGACCTCCATTTGAAGAAGAAGATTAGTCAACTATGGCAAATAGTTTCTAATTAATTTGCTTGAGATTTGAGAGAAGAAAGAATAGTCACTTTTAAGAAATATAACTAGTAAGGAGATTATTATAGACTTGTAAAATTAATATATTATTAATTAGGTAACATTGTTATAAATGAAGATTAGATTTTATACAAGATTCTGGGTTTGGAGTATGATACTAGTTTCATACAAGGTTGAGCATTATGTGTTATAATATTATCAAGCAAGATGTATATTTTAAGTGAATGAAATCATATTATATTCAAGTTTAATTAATATACTTTAATATCTTTTACCTCTTATTATATATTATTTACTTTAGTTTATAATCTATCACTTACAGTCTTAACTATTATGTTATACAGTCACTATTGCATTTTTGCTGTACCACCAAGTTTATATTCCTCAGTTGTTACACTATACTCAAAAGGTTGAAGGTATTAACAAACTCTGAGACTTTAAAAAAAAAATTCTCATTACCCCAACCTATTTTCTAAAATGTCAAATACTCTTTACTATTGTTTGATATCGCTCAAACCACTTGTATTATTGCATCAATGAAGTAATGTTTCACCTTGAACTGACCTACTAGTATACCATTTTCTTATACAAGTTAAGATGGTAGTACAGTTTAGTATGTTGGACTCAAGGCTTCAAGAGTCGAACTAAATATTTCATGGAGTATTAAGGCTGCCGTGACAAAAAAGCTGTTACCCTTTTTGTCAGAAAACTGGTTCGGAGTCTAGCCTTCTAGAACGATACCGCATTTACTTTTGAGATTCGCCATCTCGACTAGCCCAGGATAGGATAGGTTTAGGCCGATAGGTTAATAGAATTGTGCATACCAGTTAACGCGCCAAACACGTCCTCAAGGCAGATCTTATACCGGTACCCTGACAGGAAAGATCTAACCCTTCCCAAGAACTTTTGTCTCGGTACCTGAGCTCAGGACCCCCAGCCCCTTACTTAAATGCCGAACATGACAACACGCCCTTAAAGCTCAAACCACAACCATTGCAGCGACTGAGATCTAGCGCGTCCCTCCATATCCACACACACACACTCTGCTACTCTCTTTCCCAATGCCTGTCACTCGAACTGAAGCGAAGCCGAAAAGAATGACACGCCAACTGACTCTGAGCGGGGAGGTAGCAAATGTTACTCCGCCGTCATCGTCGTCTAAATCACGCTCAAAATCGTCCGTCGACCGCTCCTACGCCAACGCCATTCTCCCCATCAAACCCGAATTTGTGGAGCTCATTGCGGAGCGGAAGAAAAATTACGAGTACCGGAAGTACCACTTGAAGGATACGGTGACCCGAATCTGGCTCTATACGACGGCTCCAACGTCCGCCATCTCGTACGATTCAATCTCTCTATTTAAAATCCTCATAACTGATGCTAAACCTGCAGCTTTTAGGCACGTGATAATTACAGGCCGCGCGAAAACACCTGGACAAGTATGTGATCCGAGTGGTGTTGGGAATGACGATTTCGATAATGGGTTGAAGGTGTCCAAGTTTGGTTACCCGGTGCTGGGTCTGTATAAACTGAGGACACCGCTGAAACCGGAGGCGATGAAGGCCTATCATGTTTCTGTGCCGCAGATGTACGTGTATGCGCCTGAAAAGATGGTTGAAGAGATACCGCTGGAGGGTATGGAGAAACTGTTTTGAGTCGGTTTGTGGTCGTGATGTGCCATAGTGCTGGAATGCGAAAAGGACGGCCTAGACATCCCTTTCATTATTGCTATTGAACTTAAAGTCATGGTTACTAGCTATACTAAATCTCAACTCTGACTCTACTCTACTCTGGTTCTGTGAGGAAGGGCGTGCATTGCTTCTCTGTCGTCACTGTATCATTTCCACGGGTTTTCTTTTTCTGATTGAACCATAATTCTTCTCAGGGTTATACTGGGCCTCCTTCCTCCCCTCACTTTGCAAACAAAGGGATAACGATCCTGAAACTAATCCCATCCAATTTCTCTCTCAAAAAGTGTACTAGTACATGCCCCTTGACCTTTTCCCACCAGCCCAACGGTTATGGCATTCTTGTCAGGCTTTCGTTGGGTTCGGAATAGCATTGTCGCCCGTATCGCCCATTACTGGAACCCCTCTTTCCGTTCCGGCTTCTTGTCGATAACCTCTTCTTTTGCACCTTCTTGCTCAAAAATCCTATGCAGATAGTCGATGGAGTAGGGCCGAAACAACTTTCTTGGATCATCCAACCACCTTTCCACCTCACGAAAGAGAATTGTGTGGTCCTTACCCTGCCTTTTCATTTCCTCGAATGACAGCATATACCCCATTCTTGTCGCCCTCAAGTACTCATATGCCCCCTTGTCCACATACAACGACTTGGACAGCTTCGACCCTGCCCAATCTTGAATCAACGGTGCGTATGCGATTACTGGTGGTTGGATAGCGAGCCCGGAAGTCTCAGGTTTCAGCAAAATCAGTTGCCGCCAGAGCAGCTGTTCCGCATACAAACCCGCATAATCCGAGCCTGTAACTCGCATATGGATCAATTCGCGGGTCGGTGTACCTCCATGTGCTCCTGCGTCATGCGCTGCTCCTCGGCTCTCGGTTGTTTGAATGCCATATGCGAATGTTCGCACAAGGTTTCTCAGCGGCGTATTGAACTCAAGCCTCGCTACTTCATCCGGGTTCGAGGAGTCGACGGAATGGTACCCGTGGTCGGGGCAATAGAACTCGATAATCGCAGATCCTGAGGAGGTAATGGAGTACTTGTTCTTGATGCCATGCTTCTCGGCAAGCCCGCATCTCTCATGCGGACATGCAGAACGCATTGCCAGGGCTCCGGTCTCCGGCGCTAGTTCCCTTCCAAGCCTTTCGCGGTCCCTGACTATGGCTTCAATGATCCGAGGAACACTCGGGATCCTGGCGACTGTTTCTTGGTTCGTGAACTTGTATGGGATACAACCTCCAACAAATGCGGCTGCTGACTCCATGATCTCCTCGTAATGCGGGAGAAGACGATAGTAAGCTTTTGTAAAACGTTGGCTTCTTTGGTAGTTGATACCATCACGTACACAACCCTCCTCGTTATGGGGAGCGGTATCGACAACGTCCAGCTGCACAAGTACCTCAAAATTGTCAATCCATGCAGCGAATTCAGTGGAAAGGTCTGCTTTCCGGCGGAGATCTGTGTAGTATTTTTTCACGTCCCGTGCAATCAAGAATGCTAGGATAAATACAACGATCGTGCCAACGTGAGGTGAATTATTTGGCTGCGCGCCGATATGGACGACGAGTGTGGAAGGTGGTAGGAGCCGACGGGGGGTTTTGTCGGCCCCAGTCGTGGGCAGAGGAAGACCTAGGTAGCGAATATGGGAGGAGATGTATTCCTTTTTGTAGATGTAGGACCCTGCCCCCAAGGGATTGTGAACTTTGCCATCATGTAACACATAATAATGGTCAAACGGGACCTCGAGCGGCGACGACGATGCTTGAACAGTGGTGGCGGCACTCACGATGCCCTTCAGGATTCTGTCGAAAGAAAAAAAAGGATTAGTTACCACCTGCAACTTCGTGAGGTGTAGGGCCAACACTTACTCCGGCCGAACAAAAGTGGGCACATTTGCACCAGCGTGAGGCATTTCCGGAGGAATCTGAGCCATGGAAGCTTCCCTCCGCCGTTTTAGAGCTTCGAAATCCTCCACCTGGGCAACAGCATCTTCCACCTCCCCTCCAAGACCATCAAACCCCATCTCCGTTGGAAGATTCATAATCGTAAGATAAGTTGGGAGCACTGCGGGGTATGTTCGTTTAAGTCAGTGAGTTTTTTTCGCTTTTTTGGTCAAGTCCTCTGGGTTTATTTTATATGCCCGTGGCTGAGTGGCGTTTGTGGGGACGGCCGGGTTCGCGGGCGCCTGCATATGCAAGATGTGCCAGCGGGAACTCTTATGGCAACATGTGGGACTGAAAGCTGTTGCCTGAATAGCGGGTAATAAGGGTGCCCCCGGCTCTCAAGGATTATTCAACTCCAATAGCCTCCTATCCACCAGCACGATAACAGGTATCAAGGGAAATGCATTTTATCACTATATTTCTCAAAAAATTAAATATGTTGGCGGTTAAACCGCGGGGAAAGTCTACCTCATGACCAAACAGGGTCAGATACTAGCGTACGCAGCTTCAGAAGGTCCCAAGATGACTCTTCAAGAGAACACGAATGAAACAGGCATCCTTCGAAAGACCTGTTTTCGAACATAACTTAATTCGTGAGGTAACGCAGTGACACAATGAGTCACCACCAAAGATCTCATGAAGAGACAGATAACTGCTGGTCGTGGTTGTTAGAAATCGCCAGGCGCTGCTCGGCATGCTCTCATGATATCATAGTTGCTTCCTTTGTTTGGATAGCCCTTGGGAACGCACTTTGGCTTCAGGCATGTTTAAGCTTTGGGGGAAACATTTAGGGTGCGGGAATGCGCACAGGCTTTGGCTGAATGCATCCGCCGGGAGGAAAGCAGAAGGGCCGGACAGAAACCAGAAAGGGTGCAAGGAAAGCTGGAAAGTCAGATGTCTAGAGTGTTGGATGTCTGGAGGATATGGACCGCGGGGGTTTGCCTTTCCTTTGTTAGCACGGGAGCCAGATAAAGAGGGAGGTGAGGCACGACGCATATGAGCAAGAGCATAGAGATGTGTGGTCATCCATGGAAGTATAGAAGAACTTGGTGATTGTTGTTATAGGAAGACAACAAAGAGAACTTTCCCGCTCCTTAGGTGTGCGACTGTTTTGTTGTGTGAACTCTTGGTGTCTCGACTAGCCGTCCCGCCGCTTCACCGTTGCTATCGTTTCCGTCGATCCAGATTTAAAAGTAGTATTTGCGGTAACAGTTCCGAACCTGGCCCGCTACTTCTTCACAGACGCAGGAGATAGTGGGAGGTTGGGCTCGAGTCTTATCTCAATTATCACACTCTAAAGGGTATAGTGTGATTGATGCTCGTGGTCATACTCGTATAGGAGGGTATGAGTTTGCTGATCGATTGCTATCACCAGTTAAATACAATAGAGAGCTTGCGCAGTGAGACCTAGGTGGTGTTAGTATAAGTTAACAATAAGGCTTGGCCACCTGCTTCTTAGGTCCCACCTGGTCAAGGTGTAAAAACCCGAAAATCGGACCCGGAATTGAGGACCACAAATGCCCACTTGAACTGCACATTTATGCCTCTATTCAGGTATGATTTTGTAGCTATTCTTCTCAAGGACAATCCTGAGAAGAGAAACTTCATGAAAGTTAAGAATTGGCTGATAGATTGACCTCCTAATTACATGGAATTTAAGAAACTCAACAATTGTCGGGAGTTTGATGGGCTGTTCATGCGAGTGGCAACCCCTAGTGACACCGTTGATAACTCCCACCTAGGTCTACCTGCGCAAACTCTCTAATCTGAATCCCTCACGATTGGATAGGGCGATATCGCCACTACGGCAACGCTGCAACGGCCGGACAGCTCACTTCCCTCCGGACTTTGGCTTAAGCGAATAATGGTGTAGACCGTGTGAGGGCTCAGCGAGAGAGCGACACCCTTAGCGAGGCGCGGCACAGCTTGGCTCCCTCCTGTTATTGATCACCTTCGCCTTCGCAGGGCTATCTAGCTCGGCGGAAAACATTCTGTAAAATTATGTTGGCTGTGTGAGAAAGGCTGTCCTATTGTGGCTTTTGCGGGGGTACCTAACTTGATGAAAAATATGCAAATTATAGACTCACCTTGGTGTGAAAAAGACTATATGCAACTTTTATGGAGTTTGGCTGGGTGAAAAAGACAGCCCCTTTCTAGCTCTTGCGGGGCCCGATGATACAACTTAGCGGAAAGTTATCTCCCACCAACCTCACAAAAAAAATCATAGGACTTCCAAGTGCATACAGAACGTCTGGTAGGGGGCACAAAACCCGACTCCAGGAACACCTCTTTGGGCTCAAACTACCACTACGAGGCACGATAGAGCATCACCCGCTAATCAGTCGAGTGATATGTTGTGATAATAACATGCACTGGGGATATATGTCTAAGATAATAATAAAATATTATGATACTATTAGCTATAGGATATCTAAATACCTAGCCCCGCCGTTAGGGGGGCTTGCGCGCGGAGTCTCTCTGAAGAGAAGGATTCAGGAGCGCCTCACCAAGTTTTCCGGTAACCGGATTGGCTGAGGTAAATTAGTCTTGGAGCAGTACGGTACCTTCTCTAGGAGCCCCCGTCCAACCCACTCAGTCCTACTCACTCATCCCCACTTCCCCTTAAGGCTGCAAAGGATCGTGCCACCCATGTTATCTAATCGATTCCATACCCCCAACAACGTATTCGGAGAAACTGTAATTTATAAAACCACTCAAATTGACCCCTCCCTATTTCTATAAACTCCATCTTTCGGTAAAGTGAGTATTCGTTGGCAACTATAAAAAGGGAGCGTTTTGAAAAACGTGAACGCATACACTATCTAAGCCACAGAAGAAAAGTGCCCCTCCCCCTTCAATTCCAATTAAACCTGAAGTGCCCCTCCCCCTTCAATTCCAATTAAACCTGGCCATCATACCAGAAGCAACCACAACAAATCCTCCCCCTCCAGACTCTGATAGTATGACGAGCCCTCATGGGGCAGTTTAGCTCTATGAACCTTTCAACCCCTATTAACAGTTCCAGACGCTGATAAGAAGATAGGAAGCTGGGTCTACTCTGTTGCCAAGCAACCATAAAAATTCGGTTGAACCAGGGCAAATTTTTGGCCTCCCTTTCAAAACTCCAACTTTCAGAATTTTCTCTTTTTTGTGGAACAATTCCTGTAGCCCAACATTTCAACTATGATATGTGAAACTCTCATGTCAAGAAATGAAAAATTCCCAAATTATTCTCATTACTTTTCGTTGCTGTAGAGGAGTGCATCGAAAATTAGTGCCATGCATGGAAAACCAAGGGGGGGTGGAACATTTCTCCCATTACGATACCAATCCCGTATCACAAGCAAGTGAGGGAATAAAAGAAGTAAGAAAGTAGTGTCAGTCTCTGGCGTTTTGGCATAATGTGCTCGTGCGGCCCAATGAAAGTCGCGCTCTTTGTCGACCTTAGTCATCTACCAGCCAGCCAGCCAACCGGAGAACGCATAATATGATATATTGAGTGCCTCTATGTGCGCGATTGCTCCTCTGATCAATATCTGTTTTCCAGGCGCGAGTTTCTCCCAGCTGCAATGAGCACAGTAGAGTGCCCCTAGAGGGAGAAATCACTATAACGCCGTAAGCTAGATTCTAGCAACCAACCAACACGTTGGTAGGCCTAAGATATAGAGAGAGTAAGAGAACCCCATCAAAAATCTGAGGCTATCCCCCCTCCCCAGCTCTTTTGCAAATAAACATTTCGAGTATAATAACTCAAATATCCAGATTCTCAATCTCACCACTTGTAGGGGGAGGAAGAAGCACATCGCGTTTGATGCTCACCACCGCGAAATCCCGCGTATCTGGAAACACGGCCAGGCTGATATCAATATTAGCTCACGAAGGCTCAAGGCAGTTTTGGATCGCGATCTTGTGCAAAACGTTGTGAAGCCAACGGACCCACAGCAACAGGTAGATCCTAGCCGAGAGCCAGGCGTGTTAGTTGTGATATGTGCGAGATATTACAGTATCACACGATAGTGACTCGGCGCCTGTGTCTCAAGCCTTACCCCCCACTCCTTCCATCCTATCTCTAGACCCTCACCACAAGAAATTTCTAATACCGTTGTCAAAAGGCGTGAAGCCTAGCTGCACGCTTACACCTCCCCTGCTCCCCTCCCCAGAAATCTCCTACGGAACGATCTTATCGGCCGGGTCGATCGGGGCCGGGTATTCCTTGGAGAATATTACACCTATGATACCAAACCGTTAGCAGGTGGTATAGGTGGTTACTGTACCCTCATGTATAGGTGTTTAGGGTTTGTGTGATCCAGAGCAGGAGAGGAGGCTCGGTCGTCATGTATCTCCCTTATCTACAGCCTTGGTCGTATCATAGCTAGGAAATACAGTACAACCATCTCACCCCATCCTCCACACACATCCAGCACAAACGCTAAATCCATAGACCCCACCAGCCCACATTGATACTACATATACCAGTAGTGCGATAACCGAAGACCGTATGTGGACCAGAGTCACCCTCCAAGTTGTTCCGTGATAATAGCTTGACCGGTAACTTATAGAACCTGCAAAAAAGAGAAGAAAAAAAGCGCCCAAATTCTCGCAAATTCGAGGAGAGCAGGGGCCAAATGCTGCCTATTTAGGCCGCACGGCCGCTACGACACAATTTGGCTCGTAGAGTACCCCAAAGTCTTGGCAACCAGATGCAACAACCAAGATATGCCTTAAAACACTCCGCTTCAGTTCCTTCGTGGGGCGCAAAAAAAAGAAAGAAAGATTCACAGCAGTTCAACGCATCTGAAATGACGAAAGTGAATCTTCAAATACGTCAGAGTCGACCCGTGAATAGTCTGGGTGGGGGCCCCGGCAGAGTATGGTAGCAACCTGGACTAGATAAATCCAAAGTCGATCATGATATATCACTCACATTATTGGGACCGAATACAGTACAAGTTGCCTGCTCCTTCCCACAGGTACCATACTAATAGCCCATACATACCATAATTGCCGCCTATATAGTTTGCCCTCCTCCGTCCCCGCGAGATAACACGTCCCAAAAAACCTGCCCCCGACGTGTTGCCTTCCAGGCTTGCTGCGCCCCTAAGTCCGTAATATGTCCGACGGGGTCGGAAGGGTGAGGAGGGAGAAGACGCCAACGCATACCTTAGTACCGAACGCCCGCCCTCCCCCCCCACCCGGAAGGCACGCTAACTTTTTTCTTATCCCCGCTTCAGTCTTCCACCCTCAGGGAGAAATTCACTCGAGATGCCAAGTTATGCCATAGTTCCGATATCAGGAGTGACATTGCTTCAGCGCTTCCTTTCCTAATCAGAAGGTTGGGAAAGTGAAGGAAAATGGGGGGTATCGGAGCAAACAGCGACGGGGGTTCGCACTTTGGGCTATCAAGTGGATCCGTTTCTGATAAGGTTGTTATGCCAGAGAGGTCAACCGGCCGATAAACTGGGGGAAAACCCATCATATCATATCATACCTTATTTTTTTTATCTCCTCCCCCTTGCAAGCTAGGCAGACAAACGTAGCCAATCACCAGGTGCACCCGGGTGCGCAAAGAGCCTTTTTGCGATCCCCTACCCGTGAGCGCACCTACAGGTCCTCATACAAAAAAATTTGGTTGGGACATATACGTCCCTTGCTTCCCCAGCTTCCAGGAAGAAAAGCAAGAGTACTAGCATTAGCGGAAGGTGCTCTAGTTAGCCAAACCCTCGCCATCCATTACCGGTCTTCCCAAGCTGTTACATCTGCCCCCCCCCCACGAAAGCCATCTCAAGGAGCAGAAACAAAACACTTCATCATCCCAGATCACTCGCATCCCATTTTTTCCCGAAAGCCAGGGGCTTCAATATGACAACAACAGTCAGCAGACCACTACAGAAAACTCCCCATATAGCCCTTTACCCCAAAGAATCTCCCGGACCTTTCCTCCCGGTCTCTGAGGTGCTATTATCCTGCATCTAAACTTTCCGGAGAGCGGCAACATAGGGCTCAGCTTAGTCGTGGCCCTCGGCCCCATCTCCTGGTACTGTACCAACTCACCGAAGTGAGCCCCCACCAATACACGACGCATTACCATGAACCCAATATCAGTCACCGAGTTGTGTGGGGGGGGGGCTTGTAAGGGACGGTTTTGTCGGGATACCGGTTCAGGGCGGACAACGATAGGCATCTTTGCGCTACATACAAGTACTATTATCATATGGTAGAGGTACAGTGCGGTGCTGTGTTGGCATCATACCGTATTATATCTCGCTCGCGCAAAGGGATGTTCCGTGGCCTATCGGGATACCCTATCGAGAAAATATGATACCGGTATCGTACCGGGGTTGTACGGTACACCCCCGCTCAATAAAATGGGTAAACCTAAAGAGCATGTGCAACTCAGGTTTGATGACAGTTTTCTGGGTGGTCTTCCTTTCCCCCCCCCCCCCAACTTGTGATGCTGCGAATTTCAAGATAGGGAATAATATGACACTCAGTTAATCTTGTGGATGGTGGAAAACCAAGTTGCCATACCCCAGCGCCGCAGTGAGTTCACAAGATAAAATGTGTGCGCCAAGGCCGCTACCCACGTGGTAGCAGCGAACAAAAATCTTCTAGAGCTCCAAAAAGGCCTAGCCCAAAGACACGCCAGGAATTACGAGCAAGAAGGCATCTCCTCCGCTAAGTGAATCCCCTTCCCAATGGGATATAAAATACCAACTCATTATCCATACAAGTATGAGAGATCAGCTGACCGGCCAGCTGGTTACATGCACTATCACGTCTGACTCAGCATTACCCCCCCACCTCACATCACTTCTTCTTCCCACTAGTCTTATCACTAACAACAACAAACTTGCCCACAACCCCCTTCTGCTCCAGCAACTCCACAACAGCCTTCTTGTGACTCCCCTGGAGCACAATCTCCATAACCGGAGTCTTAGGACTACTCCCATTCAGTAATCCGACACTCGCGCTCCCCGCACAAGCTCTCTGCAACACCTCTGCCGCGCCCTTGGCATCTATCCCAAACGGCTCCAATCCGCTAACCCTCGTCACAGTCTTCTTGCCCTGTCGCGATTCCAGTATGATGGAAACCTTTGGCGGGGCACCGGATTTGGGCTTACTCGATTCATCAGCGGAGGCATGTAGAACGCGATAGTATGGTGAGCAGGCCTTTAAGAGCTTCTCGCCGAGGTAGTCACGCTTTGCCGTGCCGGCTCTGAGCGCTTCTTTGTCCTCGGGGAGGCTCGTGCTTAGGAGGGTGTTTGAGATATTGGGATCGACCTTTACTACGCGTTTGTTTGTAGTGCTTATTAGGTTTTCTTTTTCAAGATATTTATTCATGATAGCTTTCACCTCGGCGGAGGTGTAGAAATCTTTTGTTCTAGGTTTTGTTAGCGGGCGTTTCACTCAAAGGGGCTATATAAGCGGGGGACATACCCTACCCCCACTTCATAGAATATCGATGTGGCTTTTCCATTTGGTTTGAAGAGCTCTACTACCCTTACTGGACTAGGGGCGGTGGATCCGCTCGCAGGTCCAGTACTAGTCTCTTTCTTGGGCTCTTTGGGTGGTACGGGAAGGGCATATGGCGTGAAACCCTTGACATCGTCGTGGTCCCAATCCACATCCATCACCACTACCTCTCCCCCGTTCCTAGTCTTAACCTTGATATACCCTTCCTTATCTAGCAGTTTCAAGAACTTTGCAGCATTCTTGTGGCCAGATCTCTTCATCTGTAGAGACGGATGGGGGGCGGTATTTTGCAGAAGGTTGTGCGGAGGAAAGCTTGATGCTGGTGGGAGATACGGTAGGACGAGTGTGGATATAAACTGCGAGGAAGTGAGTGGGAAACTCAACGAAGTGAATTTTCCGGTGTCGAAATGATCAAACAGTCCAAACATTGCCGCCGCATGGAATGCTTCATCAATCTCTAGTATCGGTTAACATCCAGCATCAAATAAAGAAACGAGCAAATGCCACTCAATTCAGTCAAGGCAAACCTTTCACCGAAAGTTCCCTAACATCCTCCTGCCCATCACTTGCACCATCATTACCAACCTCCACCTCCTTCCCTTTCCCCTTCTCGTCGACACCTTTCAAACTCACTGCGCCAATCGCCCCTTCCAAATCCTCAACCCCCTTCTCATCCCCCAACCGCTCAGGGATTGTCCCCTCACCCCCAAGCTTCCAGATCTCATCACCAACCCAATGCAAAACCTTCACCGCCTTCCCCTTCTCCCCAGCAACCCACTCAAGCGCACTAACATCCACTTCGCAAACCCCCACACCAACCGGAATGCCCGGCCTCTCCAAACTCGCAATCCCCACAACCCTCCCGACCTTTGCCCCCTCCGGAAACGGCCCGACGAGTCCTGGGATCATCAAATCTGCGCCATCACACAACCTCTCCATCACCGGTGCGTGGGTATGCACCACCGGCACGATACCGGGGTTCCGCCAGAGGGTGTATACAGTGGGAAACATCTCTTCGGAGCCCATCTTCACCCACAGCGGGAGTGGGGGCTTATCGCTCGTTAAGTAGATCATCCCGGCGATGGGCTTCAGATCTGGTCCATGGGTTGTAGAGATTTTCGCCGAATTCGTGGGGTCAGGGAGCAAGGCGTTGCGTAGGGCGATTTCACCAGCATTGGGGGGCGGTGGGTGGGGAACTGCCGCTCCTGCTTCTGCATTCTCGATAGTAGCTTCACCCAATGCTTCCGTATTCGTTGGTGCTGGAGGTGGTGCTGGCGGAGGAGGCGGAGGCGTTAAGTTGAAGTCCTTGATAATCTGGTTCGCGAGTTTGCGGCGGTCGGTAGATCGAAGGGGGGCAAGTTGTTTGACCTATCACCAACCAAGACCGTTAGTTCTTCACAACGGCGGAGAGAGGGGAGAGGGAGTAGTTCACATTTGGCTTCTTTTTGAACATTTCTTTTTTCTATCCTATACCTTTTGTCGTTGTTTGTCTGGGGTTTTTTCCGAATTTGGTGATGGGTCCGGTGGGGATCTGCGGATCCTTCTGCGTTGCGTTGGAGCTCGTCGGAGAAAGCACGGTGGGATGCGGGGTGACACGTGACCTACGTCACCAGATTAACTTTCGCCACTTGCTGCCAGGGGCACGGGACTGGGGTTGGTGAAAGGAAAGGTTTAGGTATCATATGTACGGCAACGGATAGACCCGTAGAGAGAGACATTTCAGGGCCAGACAGCCGCGACAATTCTGCCCACATACAGCATCATACTAGTCAGTACGGTACTCGTTACAGTCATACGGTACCGTATCAATCTTGAATAAGAGAGAATCGCCCCAGGACGTCCGAGTTTGCCATTCCGAGTGAGGTACGGGAGAAAATGCCAGACGAAAAATAAAATTAAAAAAACGCCTTATCATACTTAGAAGGGAAATCTGGACCTCCTGAGACAATTCTCTCCTATTCAAGATAACAGATATACCGGAATACGGCAGAGCAGCTCGGAAACCCCCATCCGTTTATCAATCCGCAATCACAGGATCTGTGGCAGGCCGGGTTTCCGAGACCATGATACTCGTAGAGAGTCGGAATCTAGTGTGTCCCACTGGTACATAGACTACAGCACAGGGAAACCCCAAACTTCGTAAGCCACCGGTATGATGCTACCGGTATATGAGAAATCGTATCAAATGCGGTATACGGTGAGATAGCGTTGCAAAGCAAAACCGGCATTCCTCATTCCAGAATGCCTGAGTTCATCTCGATATCATAGCTCGCTGGTCAAATCACAGTGATCCACAGCGCGATATCATACCCAACTCCATTCCGCATCAAAACAAGCCCCTACCCAAACCAAACCCCCTCTCCCCGCCACCACCCCTCTCCGCTCATTAAATCACATCACCCCACTCATCCCAACAATGAGCATCCCAAACGCCCCCAAAAAGGCCCAATACCTGGTACCGGCACACGGTGCGCTTCCAACCACGGGCCTTAACCACCAAAATCCCCAATCCCACATACCGGTACCGGTAGATCACCTACGGAGGTACAGAGCCTAAGCTCTGTGGGTTCCACAAGCGAGGTTTGCTGCCCTTGGCCCCTGTGAAGCATACTTGTATCATACGAAACTTAGGAGCTGTACCTCCGTATACCCTGCCGCATTCTATCCTACCCCCGACAACAGTATATATCACACCTCATACCGCTCATGCCCCCCCTCCCCAACCCTACCACCAAGAAACCAACTCGCTTCCCGCACATCCTGCTTAAAAACACGAAGATGTTCGACTTTGCTACCTGCTGTGTGCGCACCCTTACCCCCCCGCGATCGTAGAAATGCTAACCTCCAGAACCCCCCAGCAGAATGCGATTCTCAACCACGCATCCACACTCAACGGATTAATCTTCGGAGTTGTATATTATGGGGATATGGTCAAGAAAACGTTCGGGGGGGCTAAGGAGCCGAAGATTCACGTGTTTTGATTAACTTACTCGATTGACTGACTAGGGGGGATAAGAGGAAGCAAAGGAAGGTGTCCTTTCTCCCCCATTTCTTGTCAAGTTCCCTACTTTCAATTGCTCTTACTAAAAGTGATTATGAAAGCGACTCTTTGTGAGACATGAACCGTTCAGGAAAAGAGATGCCAAATAGCTAGCGATAAATTGAAGCGACAAAAAAAAAGCGAACCTGACCAAACTCTACCTTGCCCCACTCCAGCTAATGTAAATAGGAAAAAAAGGTACAAAAAATCCCTCTAGCACCTCTAAAACCACGGAAATTTAAGCCAAGCAGCCAGACCCCAAGCGCGAGCTATAGATGAGCAAAATGTGAAGACGAAAACCCAGCAACAGTAAAACGAGTTCCCCGAAAGAAAAAGGATGAAACCCCCCAACTCCAATCCTAACCAGTTCTGGCATCATTACATGAGCTCTCTACTTCCGAGAGTAAACCCTGTCTCTCGCCCTCTACCTGCACCCCTACTACCTCTAACTTATCCTTCTTCGGTGGCCAGCGATAGAATTGCAACCCAACAATAGTATCCATAATAACCACGCTCCAGGCTCCCAGGAAGAACGGGAGTGTTCTGCTCCACCACTCGTCTGCGGCGCTGCCATCCGGTCCTGCGAGCCCACCGCCTCCGTAGGCAGGATAGTCGTTCCAGCCAAGTGGGTTAATGATCAGACTTGCGGAATAAAAGAAATTTCCCGAGAAAGCGGCCATGAAGAGGATTGGTGAAAGGCCGTCAGTTGATTTGCGGGAATGGTTCTTCAAGATTTGGGGGATTCGGGAGGAGAAGTATCTGTGTCGGGGGTCAGGATCAATACATGCAGGGGTGAGGGCTTAGATTACTAACAGCATGCAGCTTGTCCAGCTCAAGACTTGACCTATATCAATCTCTGCGAGAGGAGCCTGGATTCCCGTAGGTGCGGCATGTGCCCGGGATGAAAACAACGCCGCTGATCCAAAGACTATAGTCAGAAAGCTGCGGTTGTCACGATATGTCCTTGCCACCCTATCCCTCGATCCGCCGAGGTCAGGATTCTGCGATGTTTGTTAGATGGGCATGACCCTAAAGAGTTTGGAGCGGGTAATGCAAACTTGATTGGTCCCATAGCTGTATGGAGATGGGCTTTGGTTACTATCCTCCTCAATCTCGCCCTCACTCTTCTTAATCGCAGGAGCGCGTCGATCGAGCCTTTCCGACCCGAATCCATAGTAGTAAAATTGGAACACCAAGACCGTGTCTATTAAAACGTAATATGCAGCTATAGCGATCTGAAAAAACTGTTGCTGGAGGAGTATTGCACCCGTAAAATTGCCTGTTTCCACAAATCAGCGGTTAATCCCTTCAAAACCCCCACCCCCGAGATCAACTTTCGGCCAGATGCATAGGAACTACTTACATATATCACCGGCCAGCCAAATCGCCATAAATGCCCATGATAATCCTTCCACAGACTGGTTGAGGTAGTTTTTATGTACCTGTGGTATCTGGGCACACAGCCAAGAGAGCATCGATAACGCTCCGAAAACCGTTGATATCAAACTTACAGTCGAAGGGACACATGTCCCGAAGGCGGAGGAAATGGCAGTAAGGAAAGCCCCTTGGGGTTCACAGTGGGGCGGCAACATAGCTGCCTAAAAGTCACAAACTTCTCGAAATCCAACCGAGCCGGATTGGCAGCGGCTGCAATCGATGATAAATCCTCGCGCCGTGTATCACACCTGGCCCCTCCGATAGCACAGTACGGTAACAAGACCCCTAAAATTGGCTAGCTATATAGCGAACAAATTATAGGATCAAGTCTTGGCGGTACCGAATAGGGAAAACAGTCGTGATTCCCCTGGCATGCCCCGAATATAGACGTTTAAACCGCGGAGTAGATAAAGATGAAAAGGAAGTCGAAATCTCCAGAGGCGGGCAAACACCGTGAAGATGAAAAAAATGGAAAGGAGCGAGTGACAAAAAACACCGAGAATCGACAACTGGTGACGCTGAACCCCGCGGATAAAGTTCGATCCGACAGAATCCGATCCAACAAAGAGGGGCAAACAGCCCAAGCCTATGGCTGCAAAGCCGCAGAGTGCAGGGCCCAAGCTCTCTCCGAAAGCTAAATCCACCACAGTGTTAGAATTCAAACTTCTGAGGGCACGCCCAGGCATGGAAAGGGGTTGCACCCGTGTTTTCTATTCTCCGGTAAGGGTAGAAAAGGACCCTAGTTTCTGAAGACCTATTTTACGTAAAACCTCGAACATGAGACACAGTCTTCACTTCAGAAGAGGAAATAGCACACGGGGCTCAAAAAATCCACTTTTAACTAACGAACAGGGGGATTAGCTCATGATATATGGAGACGGTGGGGGAAGTCTCATGAGACAACCTTTACCACTCGATTTTCGGGAGCAAACGACACGCACCCCAAAAGTCCCAGCTCCAGCTACCTCCTGGCGAAGTCCCAAGAGGATCAGTCTGTTTCGTTGGGTGATGCCACTGAGGCGAAGACGAGCAAATATAAACAAGAGGGCGCGTAGTCAACCGTTTCCTATGCGCGTCTCACCATCGAGATCGAAGCGATTATACGAAGTCTTAGATGCAGAACAAGATCAATAGAGCACGGCAACCGGGAGGAGGAAGGAAATAAAATTGTATTATACGAGTACAGCACGGATGAGGGAAAGGGGGGAGGGATGGGAAGATGGACCACGAGCAAGGGGGGGGGGGAGGGCGGAGGATGTACGGTACTCGAGCACTCGCAGATAGACAATCAAGCAGTACCATCATCATACCGCAGATAAGAAGCTAGCCAAAACCTCAGCCCGTAGACTCGAGATAGCTTCCAGGAATTACCGGTGTCATCGCTACAGAGTTCCCCATATCGGTAGTAACAAGGAGAGAGCTCAGCTGCAGGGCGAAAGTGGACATGGATTGTGTGTATGGGGGGCGAGCATGTAGGTGTGTGAGGGTGGAAATTGCGAGCGTGTCTCTCTATCTCTGGCCCCGAGCTCCAACTGATAAGGGACTCCGAATGTCACCCAAACTACCACGGTAAGCGAACAATCGATCATCACAAACAGGAGCCTCACCGGTCACCCTTTACAGGATCTCAGGGAAGAAACAGGCCCCAGATACCGCTCCCCTCCCGGTATTCTCCAGTTCCTTCTCCCTTCACGCCATATCAGTTTTGTAGAAGGAAGCAAGAGCGCAAGGTTGATTCACACGACAGAAATTCATGTTGTGGGTTTTTAGCCAGCAGCGATCTCCCTCCCCCACCTTCGAGTATCTGTATTCCTCGGAGATTAGTTGACAACCCATTTCAAGTGCGGAAGCAAAGCCCACGCCCCCGTAGACTACCGTACCAAAGTCTGCTCGTGCGAGTCGACTGGAACTTCATCTATCTTTCTAATGTACTCGTACCGTACTAGCCGCCATAAAGTTAAGGGTGCGGACTAGCTGTCCGCCCGTTCAGAAAATGCTAAACCCTCAAAGCACGACTTGCATCTCCGACTACTCCTGCGACCCATCACATTTTGGTGGTTTGCTAATCTATTTCCTCGAGTTCATCCTACGATAGTTTCAAGAAGGATTTTCCATTGTTCTATCACTTTTCCAGTCCCTCCATTTTTTCCTTGTTTTTCCCTATCAGTTGTGTTATGGTCAAGCGAGGTTTCATACTTGTGCATTGTTCAGACCTTAGGGGGTGTTTGGCACGCGGCCATTTGAGATAACAGTCATCCTGGGATGAGTTTGGTTGGGCATGTTTAGGAAAAATGGTAAAAAATAGGGTTTCTCCATTATTTTTTTATTTTTTGGAAACCCCCATTCCGGGCCCATTATTGCAATTGGAATACCGGTACTGTGTCTTGATGTCGACCAGAAATAGAGTTTTGCTGCAAAACCCCTAGAGTCAGTCTCAAAATGATGGGTTTGGAGTGGCAACCGGACGCACCCCCCAAGCTTTCTACCCCCCCTCCCCCCTGACCACGAGCGATCCGATTGGTGCGCAACATTCTGATCCAGCTGCCAGCCGATCGAGCCATCCGAACTTTGCGCTTAGCTCCGAATCTCCCCCCCCCACGCCTTTAAGATTATGGGTTAAGTTACCTTAGATGGTGCAAACATCCTCCCGCTTGACGATGTCTTGAACACCTTTGAAAGAATTTCAGAAGGAGGAAGCGATTAAGTTAGTATTGATCGGAAAGGGGGGATTAGTTGAGATATCGCGAACCGGGCTGGGCCTGCTGTAGCGTACTCTTACCAGAGCACTGGAACCTGCAGGGCGGTGCGGCTCAGGGATGCGTTCCACAGGTCATCCACCACGGTACTGTACGCAGGTGGCTTGCTCACTCAGACCGCCCAGTGAAAAGACTCAGGTAGTCTAAGCCTCAGGTCCCATCGTCCGGGTTCTCGTTGCGACCCACGAGACCATTCCCTTGGCTCCTTCTCTCACCCTCGGCGCGTGTGTCTGCGAAATTCTTTGAAGTGTGGATGCAAGTACTGTAGCTCCATGGCTCATTGTTTCGATGATACCAGCACGCTAGATAGTACGCTACGGTATTCATGGGTGTTTGAGTAAACACTTTCATGGTCATGCGAGCATCCCAATGACAAAAACTCTGTCACACCTGGCGTACATCGCGGTCTTCTGATTCTGGCATTTGGAGGGAAAAATCTCGATTAGAGCTAGTACCGTAGAATACCGGCATGATTCCTGGCAAACACGCAAGGGTGTGCGAATCTGGCATGTGCCAATACCTGTACTCGAGTAGAGTTAAGCAGTGAGGGGGTATTCACTATCCCATCTGATATGCCTCCCGCTTTCAAAAGATATCCACCCATAACACCCTCTAAAGATACATGTGCAAATACGAGTACAACCCAGCGCCTCAGGAGAAAGATCCCGTGAATAGTGGCCTATTCGTCGGGTTTGTGGCGCAAGGGGGGATGGTGAAAACTTGGCTACTCACCTTCAATGCTGGAGGTCATTTCAGCACGTATGCGCAATGATATCCGCAGCTATTGAGGCCATGCCCCCCTACCGTACCGTACGGTGCCGGCAGCCGGTACGGTACTCGTACTCGAGCGCAGAATCCTGAGATGCCTGTTGCAGCAAAAGAAAACAAAAAACATAACACACTAAGCACCATAGCATGACAGGACCGGTGTTCCGAAGAATCAGGGTCCGATTACGGTAGTCCTACAGTCCGTGAAGAGTTACCGTAATCGTGAGTGTGTGCGGTTTGAGCGCCGTACGGCCCAATGCCGTACCGCACTCTGTGCGACCCAGCTGTTAATAAGCCCAGAAGTTCCCAAGCATGACTATACTGGGAGGAAAGGCTTGGGAGAGCACGCGGCCTGATCATGATCAAGAGTACCCGTACCCGACCAATCGCTGGCCTACCTCTTTACCTCGGGCTCTTGGCACAACCACACAATTCACGGGACTACCCTATCATACCTGTACTCGTATACTCGTACACACACATTCCTGTTTTTGAGGAATCACCACAACACCACCGTATGGTATCTGTGCTAATGTGTACAGTACGGCACTATCTTAATAACTCTATACGAAAATACAACATAGTAGGAAGAGTATACCACGGGCACGTTAAGCAAGGAGGAGTTTGGTATGAAGGTAGATTGGTAGTAGTTCTTGTCCTTGATTCTCTTAAGTGAGATGGGTGGTAACCCCTATTTATACAGGTGTGCATCCTTCAAGTAACCAAGAGAAAATATAAGGAAAAACATAAGTGTCAACATGTTTGACCATAATATAAGTAGGAAAAACATAAGTGCAAACATGTCTGACCCTGAAGAACTGCCAAGGAAATCCCATAAAATATGTGTAAATCTAAGATGGTATGAGTGGATAAAATATAAGAAATAAACCTGAACACCAGATAAGAAAGCACGCCATAATTCCCTAATTGTATCATGAAATATCAAATGAAATAAACGTAATACATATTCCAACTGTAGTAATGTTGGTAATATAGAAATAATACTAAGTAGAGAAATATACGATATTATCAAAGGAGAATATACATATGAAACAAATTAGGAAATTCAACACTTCCCCTCATTATCTACAGCCTAAAAGTTCCATTAACTGTTCATGTGCCGGTTTTACTAAGATTTTTGTATAGATGTCGGCAAGGTTATCAGAGGATGCAACCTTCAAGAGTGTGAACGAGTTTTTATTGATTTCTTCCCGTATTCTGTAGTAGTGTACATCAATATGTTTTATTCGCTCATTTAGCTGATGGTTTCTTGCGAGAAAATTTGCGCCAGTATTATCTCCATGCAAAGCGATCGGTAAGTCACGACGGATATCTTTAAGACCTTTTTGGAACCATTGGATTTGTCTTGCGGCAAGTGACATTGCCATATATTCGGCTTTAGTTGTTGATGGCGCGACTGAGGCTTGTTTCTTCGAGAACCATGAGATACATGCACCGTTGAGAAGTACAATATATCCCGAAAAGGAGCGGCTAGTATCGAGGCAAGCGGCAAAGTCTGCGTCAACGTAGGTATTGATAGCGTTTGTCGCATTGTAAGGGTAGAAGAGTCTAATGTATTTTGTTCTGTTAATATATTGAAGGACATGCTTGGTGGCCTTGAGGTGTTGCTCAGTAGAGCAGGCAGAAAATTGTGAGAGAAAAGAAATTGTATACGCTAGATCAGGTCTTGTGCCAGTAGTCAGATATATAAGTGATCCTATCATCGATTGGTAAGTGGAGGGGTCTTGAATGCGTATGTCTTTGGTCCCTTTCATAAGTTGAATGCCTTTTGGTAAGGGTGTAGAAACGCTGTTTGAGTCTTCCATTTTGAATCGCTTGAGGATCAACTTGACGTATTGCTCTTGGGTAAGATGTAGCCCGTCTGGTGCGTATGCGATGTGCCAGCTGAGTAAGAATGTGGCTTCCCCTAGGTCTTTGATCTCGAATGCTGTTTTCAGGTCTTCTACGAGAGATGTAGCTTCGGGAGTGTTGGCTGCGTGGATAGCGATGTCGTCAACGTAAATCGAAATGTAGATGTTGTGTTTATCGTGAACAAACATGCATGGGTCAAGTGATGATGTCACAAATCCTCTGGAGGTCAAGAATCTGGCAAAGAGAGCATACTATTCGTTTGCAGATTGCTTAAGTCCATAGAGACATCGGTTAAGTTTCCATACTTTTCCTTCGTCACCAAACCCAGGTAACGGTCACATGTAAACTTCTTCTTTCAATTCGCCGTATAGGAAAGTGGATTTAACATCGAATTGTCGCGGTCGCCATTTGTTTTTAGCGCATATCGCGAGGAGGAAGCGAAGAGATTCGTAGCTGATAATGGGGGTAAAGGTTTCTTCAAAGTCAAAGCCAGGAATTTGACTGAACTCTTTGGCGATGGCGCTTGTATTACGGCCACCAAATTTTCTTCACTCTTGTCTCACGTTTCGTACCTAGAGGAGCTCTTAGCAGTTCTCAGGATTCGTGTTTCTGAAGGAATAGGTGTGGTAAGACGGACCCAGTTGACCATGTGCGGCAGGAGGACATTAGTATGTGGCGATTCCATGTAGCAAGAGATACAGCTGCACATGGTCAGATATAACGAAGGATCTCCTTAGTGTTTTGGAACGTACAGAAGGGACATATGTTATAGATCGGAGGATTTCCTATAGTTATATTATTAGTTGCGCTTGGAGGAGCGCCGATAGATTGAGGGATGTCCTTGAGTATATCTATGGGATGTGCCCCTGGATATTTTACTTTCTGTACACAATCTGGTAATCTCCTACCTTTGTATATACTTAGGAATTATGTCTACTCCTTGCTTTCAAGTTTATCATGAAGTAACCTTCAGATTGATTACCACTCCGCGTTCTGGACTACGAAAGAGACCGACATTGATATGTTGTGTCTCTTTATCTTCTTGCCTTGCTTTGCTAGTCTTAGCCGGCCCACAAGTGTGAACCTGCTGTATGGTTCGCGCTCCTTGATTAATACCCTTTGTGCTCGTGGCCTTCCCTCGTGTCCGCCCATCCTCGGTTAACTATCTCGACGATAGTTCTCCCGCCTGAACCCTTTGCACTCGTGGCCTTCCCTCATATCCACCCGTCCTCGGTTAACTATCTTGACGATAGTTCTCCCGCCTGAACCCTTTGCGCTCGTGGCCTTCCCTCCTGTATACCCCTCCTTGGTTAACTATCTCGACGATAGTTCTCCCGCCGGAACCCTTTGTGCTCGTGGCCTTCCCTCGTGTCTGCCCGTCCTCAGTTAGCTATCTCGATGATAGTTCTCCCACCTGAACCCTTTGTGCTCGTGGCCTTCCATCGTATCCACCCGTCCTTGGTTAACTATCTCGACGATAGTTCTCCTGCCAGAGCCTTTCGCAGTCGTGGCCTTCCTTCGTGTCCGCCCATCCTTGGTTAGCTACCTCAATGGTAGTTTCCCCCCTAAATCCGGTAGGCCCCTAGGATCTCAGGACCTTTGACCCTGGTGAATCACTTAACAATATTGTACTCAGCAACGAACCTCAGAACCTTCTCAGTCTACCAACAACCTTCCTTGATTTTTGCCTAGACCTCCTGTGGGATACTGGACGATTACCTTGGCTCGCTTGGACGCTTCTTAGTTGGACCTTAGTTGATTATGCTCCTTGCAGGTGGATGCCGGCTTGATGTTGGCAACCCTCCTTGAACCTCTCTCATTGGCCGCATACAGGTTAGACGGAATAACCTTGGATACAGAGGCCCCTTAACCTATACCTCCAGTGGGATACTGGACGATTACCTTAGCTCGCTTGAACGCTCCTTAGTT